GAAAGGAAACTTCATTAGACTGATGTTAAAATATGGTAGCCATGTCAGGAACTTTTTAAAGGATATTGCAAAGATCAGTTTTCACCATTTTATATTTTGCCAAAGAAACAGAGGTGCATATAGTTGGTTAAAAAATAATTACCCAAATCTTTTCTTGCTTGTTCGGTTTTCCCTTGTTCCTGCAGCCTCATATATCGCTCATGAGCTTTTTGCTTTTCTATCTCCTCTCTGTAAACATCATGGTCAAATTTACAACAAAAGTATGAATCCTCATCCAAATACAAACACATTGCTCAATATAACAGGTCAAAACTGCATTCACAAGCCTCAACCCTCAGAAACTGAACCCAAATGTGTAAATGCAAATCAATTACATTTGACTTAAAAGATCAAAGTTCAAAAATATGACCTATGGTTTTTTTGTTCTTTTGAATTTAAAAAAAAAATCATCGTATATTCAGCATCTTCAATATGCAGAAACAGATGGCAGTTAATAGGTTCAATCAGCACAACAAGCTACAAAAAGACAAACATTTCAAGTCGAATTTCCAATTAAAGACATTGAAAATAACTACAGTAATTTAACAAGCCTTTGACACAGACTATGCTGGGCCCTACTTCAACTTTGAAACTGGCCCACTAATCTTCAGCCATAAAAGCACCCATTGTTTGGGAAAACGGAAGACATATTCTAGATCATTTATGAGGACAACTCATTCATATTTCTGTTTTAACATTTTTTCCCATCAATAACTGAAACTTCTTTTTTTTCCGAAAATAAAATAATAATATTTAAGAGCATCAAATCAATGATTGAAACTTCTACAACTACGCTTGAAAAAACGTAGTTCTAAAAGTTTTCACCAGCATTTAGATATTTTTATCGAAGAGGAAAGGGCCACATTAAAACACAGAAAGAAACTACGGCGGTTTACATGTAGAAAAACCCTGAAATAATCTTTTCTTTTCTGGCTCACAAGATCCTCCAAATTATCCTGTTATCTTGTCAATTAGTCTTAGCCAGAATAAAAGAATATCAATAATTACATTAATAAACAAGTGATAGTTATAGATTCACATGATAGTTTTATTTTTCCTTCTTTTTCCTTTTGAAAAGAAAACCTTAATAAGAATTCAGATTATTCATGTGATAAGTATTCATGATTATAGATTCACATTGTTTAAGTGTTTGTTTTTTTTCCCTTCCAAAAACTAATCCGTACTAAAATTTCAGTATCATCCATGTGCGCTGTCTTTTTTTAATAAAACTTCACGTGCAAGTCTTGATGGAGTTAATAGATAGCACCTCATTCAGTTTTTAGAAACTCTATTGGCATGATACAGAATTCTCAAAGTCCCGGATTTATAACGGAATTAAGAAGCAGAGTAAAGAATTCTTATGCACAATATAAATTTTTATTAGGAAAAAAAAAGATAAATATATAAAACTGATGTTTCATAAAGTAAGCAGACCACAAGCAGGTGTACGAAAGTATTTTACTGATACTGATGCCATAAAAAGATAAGATTACCTTTCACGCCTTGATAATTCAGTTGTTCTGCCAACCTAGATGTAACGTTTGAACAACGTGAACAGTTAGGAATTTTGTAAAAATAAGACTGAAGAGCGTGTTTATAAGAATTATACGTAAAACTTACATCAGCATCTTTAGCCTTCAGATTCTTTGGTTTTGCCAAGTTAGGATTATCAATCTCAATAATTCCCTGGGTACCTTTCTGTTTCTGCACCAGTTTAGAGCAATTTTAAGTGCAATAAAAAAGGCAATATAAACTATTTAGACAAATATTGTATGCGAATACTCAGATAAGTCATATAATAACCTCACTCTCTTCGTCCACTTCCACTTCCTCTTCAGATTCTTCTTCCTCCAATTCAGCTTCTTCCTGATACAAATTAAAAGCACTTTCTGCTTAATTGAAACGACAAGTGTACAAGTGAGTGAGGGATAAAGAGTAATTATCAAACAAAAATTTGAACTTAAATTCTTACAACATAGATTCCTAATAAACGATAAAATCATGTAGCAAACATACAAAGAAAAAAGCATCACAAATTACTTTTTGTTATGAGCTTCAACAAAATCACCGTGAAATTTAATAGGATAGATAGACAAACATGAAAAATTCCATGCATCATCTCAATTGATAAAGACCAAGGAATGGATAAAATGTTACAAATCAGTTTTTTAACAAAAACAAAAGAATGATAATAACTGCTTGGAATCGTTCATGTACACTGTAACAAAGTCAACAGTGTGAAAGTAGAACAATACATTGACATTCACATGTTTTAGACTGCCATCTCCTTGTTTAGATAAATATAGCTTCGTTTTGTCAAACTGGAAGCAGTCATCAAAATGGGTACCGCAAAACAAATTGCAAAAGATTCCATTCTTCACTACAAAGACTATTGCTTTATATTTTAAACAAAGAAAAAGGGAGGACATTCATAAAACTGCACAGACTATCTAATTTCGTCAATGAGAAATTAGTGCCAAACACAAAACCTTTTAAAGAACAGTCATACCCGTTTGAAAGTGCGAGGTCGAGCAGAGGTACCAGCAACTGCAACCACAAGAATCAGCTTAGGTCAAATAAAGTATCGAAGCAAACAAAGCCCTTAATCAATAGCACATTGACCCAATTTACAAACAAAGATTATCAAAATAATCATCTTCTATCCATTTCTAATAGTGCTTTATGCATTTCTCACACTTGGTTATATACCAGCTACAAAGAGCTCTAGTAAAAAATGGATGAAGAATCAACCGATCGAACACGTTTCCACAGTAAACATATCTGATATCTTCCTCGAATATTGTGAGCCAAATTACTTAAATTACTATTATTTAATAGAGTTTAAACCAAATCTTAAGAACTTGTAGTTTTCAACTATAACCGAAATTCCACCTCGAATCAACTTCGTGTAAAGCTCCCCCGATTTTTTTTTAAACCACGAGTCATTAGCCCGAACGACCACTGATTGTTTACAATCAACTCAATCCAATATGCAAAACGACGATAATATTCCCTAGATCTGGTCTTAATCGCACAAAGCAAGATATACCCTCACGCATCCATATAATACGAATGTCTCTTATTTATACAAAACAAAAAATATGTATATGCACACACAAAATCTACTAATATAAACACGATAGACGCATAGATAAAGATATATACGTATAGCAAAAGATATATATATGGATAGAGAGAGAGAGAGAGGGAGTACGGAGCTCTTCAGGAGTGGAGAAGTGGCGGTGACCGGTGGGCTTGGCCTTGAACTTTCCTCTCCCCATAACTGCTGCAGAGAACCGTCAACAATCAGAAGATGAACAGATTGTATGGAAGATTTACAGTAGGAGCGCCGAATTCGTAGCAATTTTTTTGATTCGGCGTTTCAATTTCCGGCCAGCCTACTTTTCTTTTCGTTTTCGAACTTTCAATCTTCCGCTCTGCTGATGCCTTTTTGTAGTTGCAACTGAGAATCCCCTCTAGCGTTCCTTTCACGCGCCAGGGTAGCGATGCCGATGTACCTTTCGGCTTTTTATCTCCCCATCCAGAATTTCCTCAATTTTTTTTTATTCTTCGAGTTAATATTTCTAAAATAGATATTTTTGGAAAGGGTATTTTTGGAATTTCACTTTTTTTTGAAAAATTATTTAAAATTAAAATTTTTCCATAATAATAATGTTTATTTAACGAGTTAAAATCTAATTAATATAAATTATTAATAAGAAGTTTATCGTTGATTTTGTATTTAGATCATATTTAATTACGTTAACTATTTAACTTAGTATAGAAACTCATTATTCTATAAGAGAAGAAAAATATAGTCGTGCTTTGTTGGTATATAATTTTATTTATAATATCGTGTTTAGTCATTAAAATTATTTGTATCATTAACAGTAGTGTGTCAATGACATTTACGTTCAACTGATAATTTTTTCTCTTATAATGTATAAGATACGTGAATCATTTTTATAACATCATTATTGTTTCATTCGAGGAAAAAAATTATGTGTCCAATATTATTACCTAATATTACTTTTCCTTATATAATTCAGTTATGTAATCTGTGTAATTATTAATCCCGTTCTATATAAACTAGATGATTGGTTTGTGTTCCTAAATTGAGATACTTGTTTTAAGTTTCAAAATATGTTTCTAAAGTTCTGAATATTTGATGTTGTTCAAAAATTTCAGTGTAAACATTCTGAAGTTTGTTTGCACTATCGTTTATCTTTTATATATTTTTCATTGTCTTGTAGTAAAAAATTATAGTAATTGACTTTTTTTACTTTGCTACTTATATAAATAATAATAACTATTTCTTAAAAATATTGAGGATTTTGTATATTTTGTAATAAAAATAGATATGTACTGTTTACAACAGTTTTAAGTGTGTTCTCATTTTTATGTAATGAGAATATTTTAAAGAATTTTTATTACTATTTTACTGTCATTATGATTATTTATTTGACCATTTTTAATGTCTAAAATTCACTGTGAAAATTTCTCAGATATTTCAAATTCGAATAAGAAGATCTTCAAAACTCTACTCCAAATACAACAACTTTATCGTAAAAAAATTTTCTGAATTATTTAAATTTAAAAATATAAAACTATCTCTTAAAGTTCTATCCAATTCTTCTAAACTAAATCTATGCATCTTATGAGTCTTATCCCAAATAATAAGTGTTGTTTCAATTAATAAATGAACTTAAAAACTTCCTTGTTTGATGTTGTAAGTCGATTCCTTACAGCCATTTGTAGGAATAACAAATATAAAGTGA